TAGTCCCTGCCCAGTGGAAGCCATGCTCAGGCCATGTATTGTGGGCAGGTGCTATTCCCTCCCCTTGCCACTGCTCTGAGCACCTGAGGGTCTGGCAGCGAGTATAGTCATACAAACAGTGGGATTTAGGGAGGCTGTGCTCATAGCACCTATTACCCAAGAGCATAGCTCTTTACAAGATCAGGAGGTAGGTTTCTTCTCCTAAAGAAAAAGTAATTCTTCCTTTCTGCCCGTTTCCGCTCAATGCGCACGTACACAATAAAATCCTGCACTTCCCAAAATGGGGAGTGATTCATGCCTGCAAGTTTAAAATAATGAAGTTAGTAATGCGCTGAACTGATTTAACCTTAGCTCACTCGTTGATGGTTAATCTCTCAATTTCTGTTGCCCTTTCAGCCTGCAACAGCTGTTGATGGCATGAAAAATTGGCTGAACTGCAGACAAGCTGGGGCTGTGTATGTTTGTTGTATGAAGCTCTTGGAGAGAAGCAGAAGACACCTTAGTAAAACTTCTGGAAGCTTTAGGGCTGTGAGAACAAACCAGTCAACATCATAATGCATTAAATAAAGCTTCTATGAAACCTGGGTGGGGAGAAATCCATTCAGGTCACAGGTCTTCCCCTTGGACGGCAGCAGAGTCATCTTCATGGGAGGATCTTCGGTTAAACACCCGCAACTCAGTTTGCATTTTGACAGTTTGCCTCTTGGTCATGGATCAACATCTACTTTTCTTGCAGCTGCCCAAGCCCATGGACAGCTCTGTTGCATGGTGTGTCTAGAGGTTGCGTGGACTCACCAGGTCAGTGAAAGGATGTTTTCTGTGCATTGTATACAGGGACACAAAGACATTAACTAAATGGCACGTTTTCTATCTTGGTCAGAATGGAGGCTCTCTTAGTTTGAAAGCCCTGGATAAATGCAGAGGAAGTCGCATGGATTAAAATTAAATCCAAGATTTAGTTCAGCAGATGTCCCTTTCAGAGCGTTCACAGGCTATTACGGGATCAGTACGGTACAGGGCAGATCTCTTGCCCTGTGATTCCCTAAGCATTGTGGGATCATTCTGGCTGTTGACTCACAGCCAGCCCTTCCCCGCCTCTTCTTTCCCAGCTCCTGCACTAACCCTGCACTCCAGTTAATAGTTAAGCAGAAGTTTTGAAATGAGACACAGCATCTCATGCTTTTGAACTTGCTTTGTTATAAGCCCCTTAGGTGAGCGAGCTTGCTTACTGTGTGTGCCAGTAGAAACATCTGTAGCGGAAGTGTTTCCTGATGGCTTGCTTTGGGAAGACTGGGGTCCAGCTCCACCTGAGCTGAAATGGGAGTAAGTACATGACTGTCCTGCAGGCTTTCCCCTACTGGGAGGGAAATCCCAACCAGGCTTTTACAGTGAACCAACTTCCGCACTGCACATCACCATCTTATCGAGGCTGGTAACCTGTCATTAGTGCTTCTACTTGTGTGTCCAGGAGAATAAACCTACTCAAGCCGAAAGTTTCACATAAATTTAGGTACAGCTGTCATGTTCACTTCCTTAGTAATTTTCTCACCCTATCCCTGACTTCTGTTTTTTTATTTTTTATTTTTATTACAATATTACAGTGCTATTACAGATTTGACAAAATAAATATTTAGTATAAGATATAGGAAGTGAATAACAGCTGTCATAATTTTTAAGCCCCTTAAAATGAGGGATATTAGGCCTGTATTTAGAAACCTGCAAATGCAGCAAAGGTGCTTGATCTTTTATGTTTATAAAAGAGGTGGTGAATGCTCCATCCCTGGCAGTGTTCAAGGCCAGGTTGGACAGAGCCTTGGGTGACATGGTCTGAGGTGAAGCATCTCTGCACATGGCAGAGGGGTTGGAATTAGAAGATCCTAAGGTACTTTCCAACCCAAACCATTCTATGATTCTATGTAATAAATCTCAGCAGTTTGCCTTCTCTTTTGGAAAGCAGTAAATTCAGACAAAGAAACCAGCTTCAGACAGCCCTAATGTTTGGCAATTGCAACTTAAGTTTACAAACAGTTTTGCTCAAAGAAATGCTGGGAGGTATTGAAAGGCCTTTTTTTTTTTTTTTTTTTTTTTTAAGTTGACATGTTAAAAATTTTTATTGTGAGTCAGTGCTCTTGGTGCTTTTCTCGAATTTGAAATCTAACCATAAAAAAGTGAGTGTGCTTTAATAACACCATCTGTGGGAATATAACCGTGTTCTAACATTTGCAGTTTGCTTTGTTTACTATATTCTGTATTCAGAAGGGTCACAAATACATTTGAAAGAAATTATCCATTCTTAGTCACAGGTCCTTCCAGTGTTACTATAGCTCTAGTAAAAGGCAACGTTTAATGACCAATGAGATTATTAAATAAGCAATAATGAGATTTGATTTTGAAGCAGAGAAGCTTAGAGAAGTAATCAACTACAGAGAAGCCTGCAGTTTTGGGGTTTTGAATTTAGATAATAACTTCTTTTGCTTCTGCTCCTGGCAGCAGGGAGCTTTTGTGCATAGAAGAGTGGAAAGCATCAGTTGAAAGATTCATCTTCAATTTGCTACTTGGGGAGCATAAGCAGTGAAAAGCAGACTGTTAGACACAGTTCTTCATGTTCAGAAGTGGTCTCTTGGCTTTATTCATAAGAAGTAGGGAAGTTCATGGGTGCTAGTGGTTGTGTATGAAAGACCCTGATGCAAAACTTGTTGAAGCTCGCTAAGGACTTGTGCTAACTTCAGCAGGCTCTTGTCTTAGCTGCTGGTTTTGCATTTGAGAATCTGGACAAGGCCATAATGGCTCACTTAGATGAAGCACTTGGAATTACTTTTTCCAGTGCCATTGCTTCAGCATTTCATGCAAGTAATGCTTGGTCCTGAGTTAGCTAGCAGACTGTTTACTTTCTTTATCTTAGCCCTCTTACTTACGAGAAACTGGCCAAGGTAATGAAAACTTTGTTACCCTATAAAATGTATTATCCTAAAGCTTCTCTGCCTTTGCAGAGGAGCAATGACATAAGGAGTTACATGCATACAGGATATTTAAGCACAAATTCTTGATGAATTGCCAGAGAATCCATCTATTCAGAAGATGCAGTTCACCGTAGACACAGAGTAGAGGTCCTTGGTGTGTCAGCTGACAGCTAACCCATGCTCTTTTGTGGTCTTTGTTTTCCCTTACATCTTGCAGAAATTCCTTCATGAAACATTAAAAACCACATAGCCAAGTCAAGGCCAGTCAGCTGCTTTTCTTATTTCAATTAATGTTTTGTTATCGGTCTACCAAAGTGAAGTAAGAGTTAATAATCTGTGTACAAGTGAGATTTGTTCCTCATTTCATGCATGTGATCGAAGTGTTGCCTGTTCATGTTTGAATAGTTAAATCACAAGGTTTGTCCCCTTGTGGGCCCTTGCAATTGTATCACATTGCAGGAGCAACTACGTAAAGCAATCAGATGTGCTTTATGAGTCTGAGAATAATCTGTGATTCACAGAAGTAGGCCAATGCAATTAGTGAAATGTTAAGCCTTGTAATGGAATGTAACATGTGCTTGTCTGCCTGATTCCATCTGCATCAGTTTCAGCCTGGATAACATTTCACAAATATGTTACTTAAAAAGCAAATATCAAAAGCTTTCAAAGAGAAGCCTTCTTAAAAACATTAGGCTGCTTCATCTCATGAATGAGTATCAGATTGTCTTGCTAGGAAGCCCCCAGGAGTCCTGAGCAGGCGAAGCACCTGGGCAAGGAGGGCACACTCCCCGTTAATACATATGCACTGAAAGGCTGAAAGGGGAGAAATCCTTCACTTCAACCTTTTGCTATGTGAGTTTCCCCAAAAAAATCATCTCCAATGCCATCCTCTGTGATTCAACAAAATGAATCTTTCTGTATCACAATCAATTTCAAGGAAACTAACATGGATTAGGAATAGGGTTTGAAAAATGTGTGGGATTTTTTGGTTTTGGGTTGGGTTTTTTTTTGGTTGGTTTATTGGTTGTTTTCTAAATTTTCCAGGTTATTACTGTAGAAGACCTCTTTCTTTGCATTGTCTTTTGGGTCAATACAGTGTTCAGACCCGTGGGTATATCTTTCAGGGTACTTTCTTCCAGTTGCTTGAAGCTCTGGGTGCAAAACTACAGGTAACCCTGCGTGGTAGGCAGCTGTGTTCCTGATTTGCCCATAGAAGGGGAAGAAACACAAAGCTAAGTGCATGGACTTGGATGCCATTTCTAAATCTAGCCATAAATATTATAGTGCTTTATCTCTGTCTTCTGCTTGTCTGCAGTTGTTGAGGCCCAGAGGTTTTAGGTGTATTAAGGCCATGTCTTTTGTTTAGTGACTTAAAGCAGAATGGAAAGGGAGCTAGCATTCGTTTGACGTTAGACAGGTGTAAACTCCAAAGCTAAACAAAAATTAACAAATACCAGGCGTGATTAGAATAAGTATCAGTCTAGAATGGGGAAAGCTCTGCAGGGAGAGCAACAGGGGTTGCCTTTAGCTTCAGACACTCCTCTCTCAGCTCCAGAGAATAGAGGGATGTCTGCCCTTTCCCTTTTTCTTAGGTGCCAGAGAGACTAAAATAGCCTTGTCAGCATGGTGCATGGGAAGATGCTTGGTAAAAATGTCATTTCCACCAGAAGCTGTCCTCTATGTTCCTACTCTGATAACCAGATGTAGAGGTAATCATGAAAAATACAATTATGAAAGCGCAGATTGAAACACTCTCTTTACACTTCTTCTGTAGAGGCAAAATGGAAGAAACACTATATTTTCTGGTAACATGCTCATTTTAGCTTTGGGGAGATATTGGGTGCTGTTATTAAATGCCTTGGATACATTTGGGTAGAAAACATGAGTCCATCACCAGCAAACAGCCAGAGATATTTGCTCATAATGGTACAGTTCCCAAAGTGACGGAGATGACACGGATCAAAGTGACTTTTCTGGAGGAAGTAACTTTTGGGTAAAATGATCTTACATGAAACCAATTCAATAGCTGTTTTCTGTCAGTGCAAAAGTATTCATCAACTTCAGTGATTTGAGCTTCAATTCCTATGAAGACCAGAGCTTGCCTTGTTGGGATTCCTGGATTTGTCATGCTTTCTCCTCAGCATAACTGAAAGTGATGTGAAATGCCTCCAGCTCTCCACAGATGATCTTTGCCAGGTCAGTATCAGTACTTTTATTGCCTCACCAAAGTCAGAATATGTTCCACCTGTTTCCTTTGCATAAGTCTGAAATTATCAAGATTCCTGTCTGGTGAGTTGTTACCAAGAGGTTTCTGGTTTTGAATGCTTGGTCCTCCATCAATCATGATACTGTGAAAATGTTTATTTCTGCCCACCCTCCTCCTCCCAGTTTTCTTTTCAGGAGATGCAGATAGCATAGCAGACTCTGAAAAACAGTAAGACTTTCAAATGGCCAATGTCCTTTAGTTATTTGTTCCTCTCCTTTTTTGCATAAACTGTGTGCTTTTAAGGAGTGAAAATCAGAAGCGAGCCTCCTGTTTCTGACAGATGCTGCCGTATAACTGACTTCACACATCCAGCAAATACTGTGAGGACTGTAAAGCGGATGCATATACTTTGCTCTTAAATTTTTAGCACAGAAAGTGTTAGTGAAAAACTGCAGTGGTATTCACACAGCAGCTTGATCTTTGTGTTCCGGTGCATGTAATGGAGTGTTACTATTGCACTACTTACAGGGTTAGACAAGTACAATTGGCACTTCACCAGAAAACTGTCTGGGCTTGGGTGCAAGTTGTGTTTGAAAATCCTTTGGTAACAGGAAAAATGAAAGTTAAAAGTGCACCATGTGAAAAGAACGAGTTCTGCAATGTTGTAGACATTGGTGGTTTTGTCATTGTCTACTGTGGGAAGGAAAAATACTGGGACATCGATGTAAAACATCTGATTTACTCCTACATAGTTTGGACCATTCCATCTATTCTCATAAAATAATAGGAAAACATAAATTTCTTGAACTACAGCTATTTTGATCTCTTATCCAAAATATTTGCTGTAATCCTGAGGCTTTTGCAACATCATCTTTATCTGTGTATGTTTCTTAGCAAAAACAGATTTTTCCAAGAGCATTAAGTACCTAAGTGGTTCTTTTCTCCATGGTAGTTATTTTTTGCTTAGTTTTGTTTTTTACTGTTTTGATAACTAAGATAATCTCTAACCTACAAATTCTTGTGGAATTCTAACCTATTTAGAAGTGTCTTACTGCATGGCACATGGATTGACATATTATGGTATTTTATTATAAGCATTAAAATCATGGATATACTGCTACCCGTTAGTGACAGAGGCTCCTCCAAGCCCTATATGTGTTAAATAATCAGGGCACTTCTGCAGAGGACTGAAATTGAGACAGGATAATGTATCTGTCTGTTTCCTCTTTTAGTGTTTAGCTTTTCTGGAAGTCTGTGGTGAAACCACTCACCCGTTCAGACAATGTGCCCTTTTGTTCCCACTGATTCAGACAGTGGCAGGAAGAAGGGAAGGAAAGCAGGTTGCAACATGGGCTTAGAGGAGCTGACTGTGTTGTTAGGGTGGGGTTGAATATCAGATGTACACCAGACTGGATGCAGTCCCAAAGGTAAAGCAGGGGTATTTGTCCAGCCCTGTTAGGCTGTTTGTCAGGCAGTTTGCCTGCAAACAGCTTTCTCACCTCTTTATCAATCTCTTGACCTGTTTCAATGAGCAATTAGGGAGCTTTTGCTTATGCAGGTGGTGTCCTGAGTTCGTTAGAAGTCATGCAAGTCATCCTTGTCTCATTTTGATTTCAGTCTCCCTGTCGAGATTCTTCTTTCTCCTCAGGCATCAAATACCAGTTGCTCAGACATGGCATGAGATCCCTTCTTGGGGTGGCAGTTGGAGCTGGAGAAACTGTCTACACTAACAGCCAAGTGGGAGATATTTGAGAGCTCACAGGCTGAGTGTCGTGTCCTGCACAGATCCTTGCAAGAAAGCTTGCGGCCTTGGTGCATGCCTGAAAGTGAGAGAAAGACACAGCACTTAGTTGGGTACTGCTATCTCTTCTCAGATATAATTTTCTCCCTCTCTTTTACCGATTGCAGCATTCCCAGATATGAGATGATACTGTATCATTTCCTTTGGTGCTGAGTGTGAAAAGCAGAGTCTCCTTTAAGTGGTGAACATTATCTGCTTCTCACTGAAGAACACACAATCCTGACAAATGGATTTCCTGTCTTCAGGCAATAGAAAAACATTGAAGAATAAGTTCACCATGCTGCACACAACTCTTCTTCCATACTCAGGACCCTACTGAGTACTTTCTGCTTTGAAATTTCCACTTTTGTTAAGCTGGTAAACTCACTAAGTTCCTTTTAATTGGAGCCAGATTCTGCTACTATACAGTTTTTCAGTAGTACATGTCTGTTTTCCTCTAAAGAATCAGCAAAATCTTTTTTTTTTACCACAGTATTGAAAGAAATGGAAGTAGCTCTGTATTCTTCATAGCTAATAAAATAATTTGCGAACTTTTGAAAGCTGTTGAGTTCAAGTAACTGAAATTAAAGTTGTACATTTAAGGAAGGCTATATATAAAAGACAAAGAGTGTTACCTGCTAACCCTTTGCAGTGCTGATTTCTTACCATTGTAAGAGTAATTCTGGCCAGAAAGGTGAGAAGAGTCCATAGATGATAAAATCCAAGTAGGGAGGTAAGGATCTGTTTTCTGAGTTGTCTGTGGAGATTTCTCTCCCTAGTGGAAGCTGAAGGAAGGGTGACATTTGTCTTTCCAACCTGAGATGGATCAGGGAATTCAGGACACTGCATGAGACACAGAACAGTGCTCTGGAATGAAAGTACAGTAAGTTTCTCAAGGAGTAGCTATATGTGCATGTTAGTGTTTGAAAAAAGAGAATTTTGTCACCTGTAGAAGCACAATTGTTGATTTAGTTACTCAGTGGTGCAGGAATGTATTTGCATTCTTCGGGGGGGTGGGGGGTGTGTGTGTGTAAAAATTGCTGTCATGCATCCTTCAGTTTATCATAGTTTACACTTTCTCACAGGTTTATTTTATGTAGGTCCTTGTACTCCTAAGCAAAGAACTGAACCAAAAGCAATCATAGGCAATGCAAGGATTATTTATCTCTTTTAGCACAATGAGTTGCTGGAAAGAGGATTTGCCCTTTGTATGACTTTGGTTGCAAACACTTTAGGGGACCACTAATGCTGCAGATGATGAGTTTGTTCCATTGCTGAAGCTGTCTTTGACCTCATTTCCTCATGTTACCCACCAACTAGAGGCAAATCAATAGGAACTATTTGCAGTTACTTGTAGCCCAATAAAAAACACAGATAATGCAAAAATTGATGTTATATGTACAAGAACATAGTAATGATTTTTTTTCTGTGTGTGTATTGTTGCTGCAGATTATGGTGTTAATGTTAGAGTTTGAGTTGGAAGGGACCTCTTGAGAAGTCCAAGTCCAGCCCCCCTGCTCAAGCAGGGTAGCTAGAGCCAGTTGCTCAGGACCAGTTGGCTTTTACTATCTCCACAACCTCTCTGAGCAGCCTGTTCTTGTTTTTTACTCCCTTTGCAGTAAAACAAAAAGTGTATTCTTGTGCTCAGATGGAATTTCATGTGCTTTAATAATATATCCATTGCCTTTTGTCCTGTCCGTGGGCACTACTCAGCAGAGTCTGGCTCCCTTATCTTTACCCCCCTGCCCTTGGGTGTTTATATACATTGATACATTTATATACAGCAAAGAACTTTATTCTGGAAAGAATAAGAATATTTCTATACAGCAAAGAACTTGTACATTTAGACTTGGCAGTCCTGGGGTAACAGTTGGACTTGAGGATCTTAAAGGTCTTTTCCAACCTACTTGATTCTATGATTTCATGACAAGATCCCTGGAACCTTCCCTTCTCCAGGCTGAATTTCCCCAGCTCTCTCTACCTCTCCATGCACAGAAGATGCTCTAGTTCCTAAGTAAGTGACTGGCCTCACTTCAGTAAGTCCAAATCTTTTTTCTGCTGGGGTGCTTGGAAATGTGTCTGGAGCTGGTGAAGGTACACTCACAAGCAGTGAGAACATAAAACTGTGGATTTGTGCTATCCTCTGGGAAAAATTTTGCTACCAAATTATGAAAATTCAGTACTTATTCCAGGAAGGTGTTGCACAATCTCAGTATCTGTAGCACTTGATGTGAACTCTTATCACTAAGCAAAAGACTTTCAAATTGTACACAGCAGAAACTTGAAAACAACCTAGCCTCTTCATGATTTAGTCTTAAAACCACTTATTCCTTAGCAGCATCCTTGCAGTGGCCAAATGGTAATGTTAATTTTTAACAAACTAAGTAAAGAAGTCTGGTCACAGATGTGAAAGTCACTGATGTTATGATCTCTCGCTATTGTTCTCCTCTTCCGCACTGGGAAACAGTCATGAAAGTGGTCTCTTTTCTGAATTTGAAATCAGTGACTATCCTTGCGGTCGCAGGATGGGAGGGTTATTTAGCAAGTCCTGAATCACTCTTTGTTTCTGAAATAGTGAAGGCAGAAGCCTGGAAGCAAAGTTCCATGTTCTTATGGATGACATAAACACAGAATTTAATTCTCAGTTTATGAGTACTGCTTACAATCACCGTGACTTATAGAAGTTTATGAAAGTGCTGTTGTAAGTAGATTTGCCAGAAGAAATATTTTACCTAATTCTTAGAGACGGGTATCCTTCAGGCAAAGAGAGCAGACTGCTGAATAAGTAATCCAGCTGTATTTGACCTCTGTGCCTCAGAAAATTACTGGAAATTGATATTTCAATAAAAATATCTCCTAGTACCACATAGTTAAAGTCATAAAGTCAATAGAAACTATCAATAATTTTGTGAGGCCATGTGTTTATTTGTACTATGTAGATCCTCATTCCAGAAGAGTCATAGATTACATCCTCCAGAAGATTACGACTTATCAAATTGGCATATCTAATCTTGGTTTTCAGAGTGAGACGTGTTCCTTTGGATCCTATTTTCCAATGCTTTCCAGCTTTTAGTACACTTTTATCATGGAAATTTTGCTGCCCTCCCACTCTGGGAGCCCATGTGGTAAGTAGGGATCTACTCAATGTGCCCAACATGTCAGCCCATTGGAGAATTGGATCAGAGGCTGTATGTGAGCTGCTGGAACATGTCCTTTGAAGGCAGGTTCCCTAGCAGCAGTCAAGCATTGCAGTGTGCTTGTTGCATTCACAGGGGCATATCTGCCACAAGTCATGTTCCCTGTCATGTGACCTCAACTTATGAAAACCCTGTTAAACTATAAAACTTGACAGAGTAAACTATAAATAAACTATAAATAATTTGGAAACTTGTGCTTTGGTGAATGATCCAGTTTTCTGTAAACATCCACTCAAATTTTCAAGTTGCTTGGAAAATGAAGTAATTATTGCAAAGCAACAAAAAGCCTCATTGTGGCTTAAATTTTTCACAAGTCCAGCATGTTATAATTGTGTTCCATGCTTAGTTTCAGTTTCTAAAATATTTCACTACACTAAAGGTGTTTCAGCTTTCAGTTCTAAGGAGGCTGTGCTCTTCTGCAGGGAAGTATGAGCGTACTGGCATCTTCTGCAGGGAAGTATGAGCGTACTGGTGATGCTGAGGATGGATTTATGTATGGCACTTCTCTCCTTGTCAAAGGCTGTGGAAGCAGGGCTTTTAGGCAGGCAGGAAATGCCCTCTGGCTGGTACAATTGATCATACCACTTTGGATGATCAGGTGAAATGCATTCATGGCATTAGTTTATGTCCAATATATTGTTTTTTAAAAAATGAAACTGTTCAATATACATACTGTGTGGGGTTAGTGCAAAATACCCTGACTGCCTGCAATCTCTTGAATCTCAACATGATACATTTTATAAGTAACATATAAAATGACTAGGCAATCAAACAATTAATTGATTTTATAATGAAGCATGAAAATCTAGTAGACTTTGAGATAGATTTGAGAGAAGCTGGTGTCTGATCTGATTAAGATCAATGTTATTTTCTGCTTGTCGGAGCCCATGGGCTGCTGGTGAAGAAGTAATTAGTCTTAGTTTAGTGGGCACGGAACAGTTCGACAGATTTTGCTTAGTGATACTTGAATGACAGCACAGTCTTAGGGATCATCAATGCAATTGTTTTGATGTGGCATGACTTATATCATGGGGAGAAAAATGAGACTGCAAAAAAGTGGATGCTTTATGTTTCGATCACAGAATAAGTTCTTTGCTGAGCTGGAATGGGGAATCCATTGTGTCCTTATGGGTAGACATATGAGAGTACATTGTTGAAATGGTAGACATCAGTAGACTCCAAATTTCTTTGGTTTTAAATCATTTCAATGCACAGCGGGTCCACAAAAATTCAAGATGCCCAACTGCTTTTGCTCTGGCATGTGTTTGTTTTGTTTGTTTTGTTTTCTCTATGGTGCTTTCCATGTGAATAGTGACCTCAGAAAGATGAGTTTGTGAGGCTTCTCTACCTGGCAGGTGTTTTGCATCTAGATGTTGCCCCACGGAGTTGAGTTTGCACAATCACGATGAAGTTGAGTCATGTGTTTAAAAGATTTGTTGGATTTATAGAGTGATACAGAGAAATGTCATCTTATGGAAGTTGCAATTGTATCACTGGGTAACAGCCTGGATGAGGAAATGTTCTTTACCTTGGAGTACAAGTGTTAAAAGTGTTAATAGAAGAATTTCTAGGAGAGTAATAATTACACTCACATGATGCATGTTACAAAAATCTCTGACTGAAGGAGACTATTATGAAAGCTAAGCAGAATTTGGAATTGCCCTGCACAAGAAAGTCTGGTATTTACACACAGAGCTTTGCTGATATGAAATGCTCATGTTTCAAGACTTTTTCCCAGTGAATCAAAGTCCTTAAAAATCAGGGATTTACAAATGTAGAAATGCTTTCAGTGTCAACAAAATATTTTAATACTTCAGAGTTCATAAATAGCACATGACTTGAGTTAGTGAAATCTCCTAAGGCACTTTAATTTCAGTACTTACCCAGATTTTCCTATTTTGAGTGGCCTGGAGGGGAAAAGTGTCCTTAAAAAAAAATAAAAAGGCCTTTATAGATAAGCTTACCTTACTAAAATAATTTTTCTCTTTATAACCCACTTTTGTGTGACTTCCATGTATCAATCAGTTCAGATAGAGAGAAACTTGCAATGTCATCTCTGAATGAGAATATAAGTCAATATATTTCCTCTGGAGTAAAGGGAGAGGTAGTTTGTTTTGTTAACTGCCAGAAAGTAAATCATGCCAGCTAGCTCAGCAAAATTAAATACACTTACTTCTGGAGAAGCCAACCTGAAGTGAAATTGTGGTTGTGTTTTTTAACTTTTCTTGTCTGTTATTTTTTTTGTTTTGTTTGGTGTTATTTATTTATGTTTCTTATTCTAAATTAAACCAGAAAAATTCCCATAAAATCTGTGCTTCCCTGGAAAATTTATTGAAAATGCATTACTGTTTGAAATAACCTCATTAGTTCTGTGATTGCACAGCATTGAAGATGTATTTAGTCTTTTACTGAGTTCTTGTTTTTAGCAAAACTTTGTTGAGTAAAGTTAACACCCATCTGCAATATCACACTGATTCTTTTTCATTGTATTACTGACTTTCTATGTTATAACTAAGATGCAGTAGTAAATGTTTTAAATTTTTAGCCACAGTAGGAAAGGGAAAAATCAGCAGCATGTTAGGTATAGAAAATATTTGTGAATACATCTGGGAAGATAGCTTAAGAGAGTCCTTAAGCAGGTGAGTCAAAAGGGAAAAAGTACTTATAGAATCAAATATGGTTGCAAAAATTAATCAATTTTAAATAATTTCTAGCATCCTTTGTTTTCTGTAAGATGTTCCTTCATGTTCATAAATTCTGCTTTTATACTTCTCACCAAAATCTACCAAAATATCCTTTCCCCCAGAATAGTGATAGGGTTTAGCAGTGCCTTTTTTAACTTCCATTAACCACAAAATTTATTTGTCAGTATAAGGACCTGTGAAAAACAGATTTTTGGAAACTAAATCTATACCCCAGGCTAACCTTGCCAGGTACCTACTTCTCATATCTTAAAGCCAAAGTTTTTTGGAAGATATTTTTGTAGCAGCATTGGTAAACCTAAAATTATCTGCTCTCAGGCAACCTGGTTGTTAAGTGTGCTGAGTTACCACTTTAAAACAAAAATACTTTATAGCCATTAAAGAAAATTTTATAAAAAAAATAATTTCTAAGTTTTCAAAGTTTTGGCTCTAGTGCATCTTTTAACGAGCCAACTATTAAACCTGGTCAGTGGCTGTAATTTTTATGCCACAAAGGAAAAAAGCAAACAAATGTGCCTTCATCAAGGCAATTTGACTTTATTTACTTTATTCTTCTTCTCAGTTCTGCCTGAGATGCATTTTGCCTACAGGCTTTTCATGAGATGTATGACATCATGAGGAAATACCACGTCCAGAAGCAATCATATGATATCGACTTATGCTTACATTTCCTTTCCAGATGTGACCACTTCAATTAGGTGGATGTGGAGCAGCTGTGGGAACAGATGAAAGAGTTTTGAATCCTTTGGAGAAAGCAGGAGGCTCTCCAGGTGGCACAGAGGCAGTGGTGATCTAGATGTGGGGAAATGCTTCTGCTGGGAAGGGAATGTAGAAATTGTTATACATGCCAAAACTGTCAAGACTAATAATTAGTATTAGCAGTAAGTTATGCTGTTATCATCAGATCACAGTGAAATAGTGACAGCAAATTTAACGAGATGTTTATGTAGTTAATCCTTCAGTTGACGGATGGTTTATAAAGTGCTACAATGGTAAGGAAAATGTCATGCCTTCAATGAGGAGACTCAAATGAAATACAAAAAAGTTGGTGCATGGGTAAAATTGAGGCTGTACAATTTTGCACAGTGACACACTATGCACCGTGTTACATTCCTGTTAGAACAAAACAGTATCAGG